CAATCACATTGAGGGTGGTACGTGAGAACACGTCAATTACATCATTATTCGCTCTACTGATTTTTAATGAAGATCTACATAACGGTTGAGCACCATTACGATCATTATCTAATTAATTGAGTGTGCTACTTGAGAACACCCTTATTCATCAAAATGGGCAACTCATTCCTTGTCACTCTATCATAGAGATGCTTGAGAACACCCTTAATCGAATTATTTAAGACAAGCTATTCAATTTTGCCATATCCTATTTAATTTCATTTAATTTTGGTGGACGATTATAACGAGGATACGCTATTCATTCAATATATCTTGTCTTATTCGCGTTAATTTAATTGATGATAACTATGACACCTTATAGTATCAACTTGTGGGTAAGTTGTAGTGGCTGTTTATTAATAAGATAACTGTTCAAGTAATATTTTATTACAACTTATTATTAATTTGCTTTTATTTGTTGATGAGCGTAATTACTATTTACTGTATTAATCAATTTTAAAGCTCGTAGATTTCGTTTTCCAGATGGTAATTTGTCGATGGCTATTATCTGGCATCACATAGGGTTAGAGTTGACATTTTTATTATTAATTGCAGGTATTTATTATTAGCAAACTATTACTTTGTGTCATGTTAGATAAATGGCCTGTCGGAGAATGACTAAGATGTAACCGTAGATTTAGATAATAAAAGTGATGCCGGCTCTAAGTTACAAATTAAAATTTTTTACATTTAAGAAAATTTTATGAAAAGTTTTCTTTTACAACTACTAAAAAAAAAACAAAAAAAAAAAACAAAAAAGGAAAAAGAACACTAATATTAAATGTCAGATCAAAATGAAATCAGGCTAAAAAATGTTAACTTGAATCACCTTTAGGAATGTAGTAAAATCCTAAAGCACAAAGATAAGCTATATAATAACTTGTTTTAAATTACTGCGTATAATAATAAATTATGACGTATCAATATCGATATACTGTAGTTGAACTGTATCGTGATAGTGCACGTATTTAATTATTCAACATTTCTAAATCAGGCTTATACTCATCCGTTCCTGGTTTAGCGCGACAATGTCGCGCAGCTACTTATTCCATAAAGTAACTTGATCTACATATATAACAAACAAATGGTTGATATATTGTGCCCAACATAAATTTGTTGCAGTTTCTCCTCATTTATCAAAAAATCATTTTTGGTTTTCATTAATAGACCTTATCCACAAAAATATAAATAGGTGTGATTTGATTGATCATATTGTAAAACAGCTAGAATTTTTTGTGAACAATGTTTACGACGACGACAGCAATTTTCTACGGGACCCTTGTGTCATTAATTTTAGTTTTTTATCACAAACCTACTCTTGTTTATAAATGTTTGCTCATGATACTGCATTTCGTATATTTAATATATAAACTATTCATGTTGATCCCTTTATTTTTTCAAAGAAAGCCTAAAACACCGATAAATTCTTTGCATATAGAACAAGATCTGAAAAACTTGGATAAAGTTCCAAAACATCTCGCTGTTTTATTTTGGGGAGGAATAAATGAGAAAAGATTGAAAGAAGCTGCACAATTATGTTGTTGGGCTTGGTGCTCAGGGATAAAGATGTTGAGTATCTATAATGTTGAAGGTACGTATATATATTTTTCATTATCTTACATGATTAAACCACCATTTTTATCTGACATATCAACCTTTTTTTTTTTTATAACTATATCATCAAGACGATCTAAAAAATAATGCACAATTGTTACAATCTTACATTGATACTTTTTCTCGGCATTTTTTTATTAATGAAAAATTTATTCCAATTATTCGTGTTACTGCACTTTTCGCATCAACAAAAAATGTATATTCAAATAATGAAAATTCGAACTTACCCGGTATAATTTCTTGATTTGGTTTTGCTTTATTAAAATCTATAGCATTCATTGTTGTTATAATGTTTGCAGATATGCAAGTAAATTTGATCTCATACGCTGATGGCCGTCCACGGATAGTAGAAGTAGCAAAAAGTTTAGCAGAAGATGTAATACAAGGGAAAATGACAAGTGATGAATTAGATATAGAAGAATTAGATCGTCGATTGAGTGGTTTGTAAAAAATGATTATATAATATAAGATTTCCATTTTTCATATCATTATCTTTTTTTTTTCTCTAATTCAATACAGTGCCTCGTTTCTCTGAACCTCAACTTCTTATACTCTTTTCACCAAAAATTGAACTTGAGGGCTTTCCGCCTTGGCACATTCATCTTACTGAGATATTGTAAGTTTATTATTATTTTTTTTGGGGGAATTGATATTCGTACCCCAAATTTGCTATTCATACCCCATACAAATTAAAGTTTTTTTTTGAATTTTGAGTGAAGATATCTCGACAACCATCAAGTCAAATTCGATAAACTTTTTTATTTGAATTTTATGCATTCGTATAATTCAAATAAAAAAAGTTCATTGAAATTTGTCTGGTGGTCGCCGAGATATCTTCGATCAAAGTCTTAAAAAACTCAAAACGTCTATCAAAACTCAATTATTTTATTATTTGAGCGAAAATATCTCGACGCTCACCAAGCCAAATTCGATGAACTTTTTTTTATCTGAATTCTAAGGTTCTGTAGAATTCAATTTTAAAAAAATTTATTGAATTTGGCTTGGTGATTGTCAATATATCTTCGTTCAAATTTTTAAAAAACTCAACGCCTATAAAAGTAAAAGTTATGCCAAAATTTTTGCCCGATGTTTGAACGAAGGTATCTTAACAACCACTGGGTCAAATTCGATGAACTTTTTTTATTTGAATCCTGCAGATTCGTAGAATTCAAATAAAAAAAAAGTTCATCAAATTTGGCTTGATAGTTATTTAATCGCTCAAAAATAAATAAAAAAATTTGGCGCAGCTTCTATTTATAGGCGTTGAGTTTTAAAAATTTCGACGAAGATATCTTGACAATCGCCAAGCCAAATTCAACAAACTTTTTTTTATTTTAATTCTACAAATTAGAATTCAGATAAAAAAGGTCCATTGAATTTAGGTCGAAATATCTTCGCTCAAAGAATAAAAAAATTTCTCAAAGAATAAAAAAATTTTGAGCTTTGATATACGTTTTGAGTTTTTAAAAACTTTGAGCGAAGCTATCTCGGCAACCACCAGGCAAATTTCAATGAACTTTTTTTTTATTTGAATTCTACTTATACATAGAATTCAAATAAAAAAAATTTATCGGATTTGACTTGGTGGCTGTCGACGATATCTTCGCTCAAAGTTCAAAAAAAAATTTAATTTGCATGGGGGTATGAATAGCAAATTTAGGGGTACGAATAGCAATTCCCTTTTTTTTTTTATTATTTGGTTATGGAATGACATTTATGAAATTAAATTGTTATATAATTTGTTTAACAAAGCCATATACCAGGAAATTACGACTTTCATTATAGCATTTTTGTAAAAGGATTGAGAAAATATTCCAAATGCGATCAAAGGTTTGGACGATAAATAGAATAGATTATATTAGATTAGAAACCATTAGAAACCTTTAAATTTTTAATTTAAAAAATAAGAATCAAAATCTTCATTTTTAAGGGATTTGGGAATTATAGAATAATAAATTAAATAATTCGAAACAGGATCCTCTTTTTTTTTTAGAGTGTGAATAATTTTCAAATATCTAATTCTAATGATATGATTACGACTCATTATAATAATGGTCTACTACAATTAATAATATTAAAATTATTATGTTAGAAATGGATATTATCGATAAATAAATTACTTAATAATATTCTTTATCTGCATAGAGTTGTCACTGGACTGGCTATTAAAAAAACCCCACCATCAAAAGTATAAACAAACGAGAGTGTAGTTTTGAGCATATTCTAGTGCTATCATTTTGTGAAATAGAGATAGATATCAAAAAAAAAAAAAAAAAAATTGAAATTTTCTTACTAAGTTTTTTCTTAATCGTTATTATAGTCTGACAAACGAATATTTCATCTATCGTTAAAAATATTAGCATAGCATCCTACATACTATTATAAGTAATACATAAAAGTAGTTTAATATACTTAACGTATTTAGATAATTATTTATACATTTACAGTATAGTATCGTATAATAAAATGAATATATCGATAAAGGTTGGAAGCAGGTTTATTATACGTTAAATCAAGATTTAACATCAACGTTAGCATTAATCAAGTTTAAACTATAATTTTTTGAAAATAAGTTTGATAAATTAACATGGGAAATACGTTATACCTCTGTGGAGCAGTTTATTACCGTTAGATTATGTCTTGATCTCGAATTCAATATTTAACGAGGACTAAGTCAATCTCTCGCTATGTTTCGCATATTTATTTTATAATTATTTTGTGGATTTCATATTACCTTTATTTTTTCGAAAATAATTTAGGCACACAACATAATATAACAATTACATAATGGGTAATGACAAAAAAAAAATATACTAACCTACGTTTGACGTTAAGTATTACACAATTATTATCTGTGCTGCTCTATTCTTATATAAATGCAAATTCTTAATACGTTTTAAGGTTCATCTAATTATTAAAATAACTAATTTGCAACCTTACAATTTTCATAACTATAAATGACTTAGAATTTAAGAGACAAATTTGCTGCGAAAATGATTAAAATTGAATAAATTTAATAGATCATAGATTTGGTATGTCGTAAATTTTTTTTTTTTTTTTATTTCCAAAATTCTTTGATAAAAGTTTTCACGATAACCTCATGTTATATCATGAGGAATAAGAAAAGTTTATTCAATTATTATCGAAGTCTTACAATAAAGACATTTTTTCTCTCTACAAACTTCGATCATGAAAGTGTTTTTTTTTCAACTATCGTGAAAAGCATTCTTGAAATATAAGAGTGCTCCATTTCTTTGATCCCTCAAATATGAAGTCCCCTTTCTAATCAATAGTATAAAGGGACTTCATAAGTTACTAGATCCATAAAAGTACTCCATAATTCGTTCATCAAACCCTTCAGGAAGAATGCATAAAAAGGGGTCTCTAACCTTGGTCTCATAATCATACGGTAACATTAAACCAAACCTTATAAATGGTATATATTGTGAAATTGTAACCTTTAATATTTCAAATTCTTGTTCTGTCCATCTTGAAACATCTCGATTCAGTGGTGGATTAGAATTGGCCATTCCCCATTCTATCAAATAATTCCAAATTTTAACTTCTTCTATTTCAAGGTCGTCTCGTTTTAATAGTTGCCCTAACACTGTTTCTTCTAAATGTGTATAATAAACAGAATAGAAGAGAATATATGGATTTCTGCATACCGCATCAAAGACATAGTCATATAATTCGTGGAAGTGTACGTAACGACAAACGGTATTAAAGACCTGACTATATTTTTTATATATCCATGATGAATGATGATTGATAAGATGGTATTGCATACTTTGGATTAAACTATATAATTCAAGTTCATCTGCTGCTTTTAGGATATCAAGTGAGTCTTCTCCATCACATTTATCACAGTTATCCATTGGATCTATACCGGTGTAAATATAACTAGACATAATTTATAAAAAAATTTAATTTTATTTTTATTATTTAAAAAATAAAAATTACATGCAGTATTAATAACCTTACTTGAGTATAATTTCAAAAATTTTAGGTAAAATATTAGGTTTTTTGATTATAAAGAATCCATCTTGTTCGCGTGCCCACCTTATAGATAATGCCGCTTGAAAATATTCTGAACGTTCTTGTAATATAATCGAATGAGCTTTAAATTCTTTAACATTTGGTTCAGTACCGACTATAATTTTTACATTATATTCACTAGAATCTTTAAATTCATCAAATTTACCATTATTCATTATTTGGTACTAGCAAATGTAACCTTGAGACTTTTTGGAAGAAATGACTGATTGACAACAATGCAATACATTATTTTATTTGTTGTTAGTTACACGAGAAATTTATGTACGTACTTGTAACGTGATCTTACACTCATTTTTAACGTGATTTCTTGCAACTTTGACCGTTATTTATAAAGAAAAATTAGTTTGAATTTATTTATTTAGTAAATTCACCGCGCATAATATGTATGTCTGTATACGTACGTATGTACTTACAAACGTGATACGTGCGTGCGTAGTTTTACCTACTAATTAAGTTTCGTACGTGCTTTCATGCATTAAATTTAGACACTGCATATCAATAACCCCTCAGATATTTTCAATAGTTTAATAATATTGGTTTTTTATATTAATTTTTTAAATATCAAACAAAAATTTTGTTACTACTCTAATTATTGATTATTTGTTGATAAGTTTATTACTATTGACAGAAATTACTGTACTTCAGGTTCAAATTAATATAAATTCAGTTAATAATATTAATTTTATTATCCTTTTTTTTTTTTTTTTTACAAAATAAAGATTTATAAAACTTCGTAAATATATAATATGTCTAATAGTAAAAAATTGTTTTTTTAAAAAAAATTAATCTAAACGTTCAAAACTCTTTTTTTAAAAATATATTTTGTAATTTTACGATACGTATTGTCTTTACAAGTAAATTTACTAAGCAACAATTATTTAATTTTAAATTTTTTTTTGTTTTGTAAGTACTTTTTAAAAATTTAAAAATAGTTTCAAAATAGTCTTTTTAAATATAGTAATCTTGTTTTAAATAGCAAAAAGTTAGATTTTATTTTTTTTAATAGCAAATTAAATTATTTTAGTATAATATATAATGAATTTATTTTAATAATAAATTAATATTTATAGTAAAGAAATTATAGCAATTAAAAATAATGCAATACGCTTTTATTTTATTGTAAAAATTTAAAATTTTTACTCAATAATAAAAATTTTGATAGTTAATTGTATTTTATTATAAAAATTAAAATGTATTGTTTTTTTTCGAATTATCTAGTATTAAAATTTTACTAAAAAAACCTTTATTGTATTACTAATAAATTTTTCTTTTACAATTTTACTTTATTTCTAATTCCAATCTAAACTCTATTTTTAATTATAATATTTATTTATTATTAAAATATAGAAGTATATTAAATATATAAATAAATTTAAATAAAACTTTTTTATTAAATTATAATTTATAAAATTTAAATAATAAAAATTTTTTATCAAATTTAATTAAATACAGTCAGACCTCTCTAAATGCATAGCATTGGGATCATAGTAAAATTTTTTAAAATCATACATTTGAAGAGATAAAAATCTATAAGTGTTATATTAAGTTGGGCCAAAAAAAAAGCATGCATTTAGAGAGGTTGCATTTAGAGAGGTCTGACTATAGTTGCTAAAATATTTTTATTAAAGATTTATTAAAAAATTTAAATAGCTATTATATAATAAATTTTTTAAATTTTTTTAATTAAAAATATTTTAAAAAGGGCACTAATATTTATAAATAATATTTTAGAAGTGGGATCAAAGCAATATCTTATTTTAGTTTATTTTGATTTGTCATATATATTATTTCAAAGAAGGGGTAAGCTTCAATAGTAAATATTAGATAATAAATATTATAGCTTAATTATTTAATTAAATTTTATAAAAAATGCTATAAAACTTTAAAATTTAAATAAAAAATTTTAATTTAAATTTTTTAAAAATTAAAATATTTATTTTTTTAACTTTAATAATTTTACTAAATTTTTATTAAAAAGTTTGTATAAATAAATAAAATTAGACTAATTAGTGCCCCATACACTTTGTGCTCTCTATCATAAAATTGTAAAATTTTACTATGGTAACCCCTATTGTTTAAAATTTTTATCATAGCTTTTAAGTTAATATAAATAAACAAAGTTATTTTTAAATATTTAAGAAGAAGTTTTAAATAAGATTTGCTATAAAAAGAAGAAATAAATTTGTTATTAGAAAAAAAAATAAAAAAAATAAAGCTATTATCAAAAAAAAAATAATAATAAATGTTAGGAATAATGCTAAAATTTAGAGGTTCTATTTAAATCTATAAGATCTACTAAAATTTATATATACATTTTTACTAACAACACTAACCCTAAACACTAAAAAAAAACCTCTAATGAAAAGGCCTAAAAATGTTTTAAAATTTTATAATAAAATAAGTTAAAATTTTAGTATCATTTTCAACAATAAATATTGCAGTAGTATAAATTACAAATAATATAAGCTTTATAAAATTAGTTTTATTAAATAAGAGAAATATATAGAGATATAGAGACTTAGTGTAATGGTCTAGTCATTACTCTCTCCGAGTGGCAGATCTAGAATTCAAATTCCATGGATAATAATATTTAAAAAATAGCCTGTGTTATAGTTAACAGTTATTGATTATCAGTTAAATCCAGAATCAAATCTATAATCTCGGTCACACTATCTAGTTATGAGAGTTTTGGCACAATAAATCTGAAAAACTAAAATAACTAAAAACCCATTTGGCAAGTTCTAAGTTTGGAGGTAGCAATGATCTTTGATAGTACTACAGGAAGGCTAAATTTGAACTGGGCCCAAGATTGGAGAACTAAGCAATTAGGTCCTTAAGTAGGGAGACATATTAGCTAAACTGATAGGCTGATGTACTAGAAAAAAAGAGTATATACTTCAAAAGTATAGATCAAGAGGAGAGCAACTAGACTGACCCTTCCAGATTGCTAGCTAAAAATAAAGAAGAAACCAATAAAGAATCTAGATAAGAAGACAGTCCAAGTGTGTAAGATATATGCTGCTCTGTTAGGTTTACCTTGAGAATAAATTAGCTATATATAGTTAGTTAGTCTTAAGATAGAGATTAATAAATCCAAATTGTAGTTAGTAAGTTCTAAGATAGAGTGCAAAATCCACATGAAGTAGATACCAAAATTCACTTCTATATAGTGAAAAATATCCCAGGTTAGAGAGCCAATAGTGGTAGTTGTAACTAGATAGTTTAAATAAATACCCTATAGTTGGAGTGCAAATATAGCAGATAGTGTAAAACCTTCAAGCAAACTACTTAAGTTAGGCACCAAAAGTGCACATGTGGCTTAATATAATATTTATAAATATTTAAATATACTTATTATAAAAAGTTCAAGTAAGTATAAATATAAAATAAAATTTTCTAAAAGATATATTATAAAGAAGCAGATATTATATATAATAGCAATATTACAAAAGATTTTACAGTCAAACCTCTATAAATACAACCTCTATAAATGTAATACCTCTTTAAATGCATATTCCTGACCTGGCTGTAAGAAATCATTAGTGCTAAATACACATTCTATATTCTGCAAATGCATGTTCACTCAAAAGATTTTTTAAATCATACTAACCTCCTTAAATGCACGTAGCCAATTAGAATTCAGTATTCAAGTTGTGTTACACAAGCCTGCAGATCAAATATTAAAAGCTGCAATTTAATTGGCTTTCTCTAAATGCAAACATCTCTAAATACACGATTGAAGCTAGTTTGTATACAGTGTACTTATAGAGGTTTGACTGTATTACTAAATAGTTATATATATAAATTCTTGTTAATATAGATAGCACTAACAATCTTTAAAACAATATTAGAAATTTTGGTTTAAAAGAATAATTGAGTAGTAGGTGTAGCAACTTAGTATAGTAGTCTAGTTCAAGTAGCAAATCTAGAGTTTGAATTCCACAGATAATGGTTTTGAAAAATGGATCTATATATAGTTGACAGCTATCTATCGATTGGATCTGTAACCTTGGTTACACTATCTAGTAATAAGAGCATTGGCGCAATAAATCCAGAGGACCAGAATAACTAAAAACCTATTTAGCAAGTTTCAAGTTTGGAGATAGTAGTGATCTTTGGCAATATTGTAGAAAGGCTAAATTCAGATTGATAACCAAGATTGAAGAACTAAGCAATCAAGTTCTAATAGCAAAAAACATACCAACTAAACTGCTGGGTTGTTATATTAGAGAAAAAGAACATATGCTTTAAAAGTATAAACCAAGAAGAAAGTAACTATGAAATACTTCCAAGTTGCTAGCTAGAAGTAAAGAAGATACTAATAAAGAATCTGAGTAAGTAGATAGTCCAAATAGAGGTATTGGGACTGTTGTAAACTGAATAAAAACAAGAAGTATATAATGGGCATCTAATTAGAAAAGTTGGTGCTTGAAAAATAATTATAGAATGGCAGTACCCCAAAAGGTAGCATAAGATACAAATATGGTATAGCAAGCCAATATATACTAATTAGAAAGAAGTTATATGAACATGCAGGTAAATATATATATAGAACATGTACTGCTCTGTTAGGTTTATTTCAAGAATAGATTAGTCCTATATAGGTTAGTAAGTTCTAAGATAGGAGGCAAAATCTACATGAGTAAATAACAAAATCTAGCAAATAAATAGTGAGTAATACCCATGAATTAGAAGGCAGATAATAGTAGTTAGAACTAAATAGTTTAAATGGATAACCTTATAGTTAGATGCAAATATGGCAAATAGTATAGAACCCTTAGTATAGCACTAACACTTTGGGCAGACTACTTAAATTAGATACCAAAAATACACATATAGCTTAATATGATAT